GTCAACGTGTATTGTAATGAAAATTTATCAGCATACATTGTAGAATATTATCAACACATTTTGAAAGGAACAGTTAATTGTGTCAATAAATAATGATTTTATATTGCTTTTAAATAAGCACATACACGTCACCCGGCGCACGGTAGAAAAGCCCTGTAAGTCATCGTATACTTTCTTGCTAAAAAACTAAAAAATAACGTAGAAACCCGCTGAACATCGCATGTTTCTTCTATGATGTCATTTAAAGTAAATCTTTAAAATTATGGACGTCATTTACCTTTATTTTTGTTGATATTTGTTGAGGCCAGACGCCTTTTATTGTTTACAACGGGAAAAAATGACGGACACGCGATAATTAGAAAATCGCATGATCATAAACAATCATAAATTTTTATTGGCAATTTTGAAATGACACCTACAGAAACATTTGATAAAAATCAGCAGACGAACTCAGAGAAAAGAATATTTTCACAATCATTAGTGTTAAAGTGGCAAATAAAAAAATTAGTAATGGACATTACTTTTGAGAAGCAGTAACAGTCATTGACTGCGTAACGTTGAAGCACAAATTGTACGTTAATATTATGACGTTGACGTCAATAATTTTTGGAGTGCGCCGCTGTCGCCGACATTGTGTTTATGTAAAATTAAATTATTGTTGTAATGTAAGAAGCTATTCAACATGAATTTTTCTGTGTTTATTTGTTATTAATTCTTCTAAGCAGTGTAAGAATTTCAAATTAATATCTCAAATAAATTTTACGCAACAAAGAAAGTCCACGAATTTTTGGATAACCCCTCGTATGTGTCACAAATCACTGTACATTATGACACATATCTCAGTACATTTAACATAATTATGTTATATGATATAGTACATATGTCACATTTAATTAAAATATACATGTCACAAGCTGTAAAACGTTCAACTCATATGACTAGGATACATTCAGCTTCAACCCACAAATACACAATGTATTCTAACACATTATTCTTTAATGCCTCACTAACAAGTTAAAACAAGAGCTGTCCGTAAGACAGCGCGCTCGACTTTTTTATTGCTTGCCAATAAAAAAAGTTTTTGCAGTAAAAGGCAATACAAGAATCTCTGTATTTTTAAAGTGAACAATGGCCATGAGCATTAAGATATTTAGTGAAGAATTATTTTACTGAATTGTGTGATACCCTTGAACACTGCAGCAAAGTTTGAAATGTTTAAGTCAAAAGAGGGCTGGTAAGAAAGAAAAAAAAACTGAGTTGAGCCTTAAATAAATTTAATAGTATTAAAACCCACTTTGAGAGAATAAGGTTATTTTTTACGGTCACTCAGAAACACCTTGGTAAATGTATTTTTCTAAGTCAAAAAGGGGGCATAATTCTGTCAAAAACCTTGACAGAGTTAATGTCCTCTTGTCTGTTGATGAAGGTCGTGATGGTAAACAAGTATGGGTCAGTTTCAAAGCAATACCTCCAATGGTTTTGAAATAAAGTGAGGTGGTACAAAAAAACTTAACCAAGCTCAATACACTTTCTAAGTCAAAAAAGGGCCATAATTCTGTCAAAAACCTTGACAGAGTTATGTACTCTTGTCTGTAGATGGAGGTTATGATGGTGAACAAGTATGGTAAGTTTCAAAGCCATACTTGTAATACTTCTGAAATAAAGTGGGGTGGTACGAAAAACTTAACCAAGGTGTGACGCCAACGCCGACGCCGACGCCGGGGCGAGTAGGATAGCTCCCCTTTTCATAGAAAAGTCGAGCTAAAAAGACCATTTTTATCTGTAAAAATACATCACCTTTCTTCATAATCAGTTTAACTTTATACCTTTATTAGGCCCCATTATGGACAAGAAATAGTCTTTACATTTTACTTTTCAAAAGTTTTTTTGTTTTTGGTCCCATTGGCAAATTACCGAAACCATCTTTTGTTTCTGTGTCTTTTGGCAAAGAAACTGCATTAGAACTAGAAATGTGTCCATAGGACACGGATGCCCCCACACGCCACTGTTCTTTCAATCTTATGACTCTAGGTCAAATATTTTTTGGACTACATGTGCCACAAGTTGAAAACTAAAAATCAACAAAGGGCCATAATTCTGTTAAATTTGGTTGCTGCAAAAATTCCTTCCTTTCCTACCATCTACACCTTAAGGTTGTTAATCCCTGGAAGTTTAAGCAAAATCTGCCATCCGGTTTAAGAAGAGTTGCGTTCACAAAATTTCTTCATAGTATATAATGAAAAAATCAACAAAGGGCCATAATTCTCTTAAATTTGGTTGCAGCAAAAATTCCTTCCTTTACTACCATCTACACATTAAGGTTGTTCATCCCACATTGTGGGGGCATAAAAATATATTACCATTTTTTGTTTCTGTTGCTTTTTGGCAATTAGTATATTAAGATTGATTTTGTATCTTAAATGGAAGTCATATAATTTATGGTAGCTTATTGCAATTGCAGAATGAATTCTGGCAACTTATAATATCAATCAATAGGAGTCAATTTCCCAAATCTAACCATTTCTAGTGTCATATGAGGCAAGAATGATATTCAACAAGGTTGGGCTTGAACCTACAATCCCTAGGTTGAGTGGCAGACATGTTAACCGCTCGATCACCACTTTCTGTTCACATTCTGAGATAAGATGTCAAAACTGTAAACCTAAAATGACTCACTGCCTTCATTCTAAAAACAACGTATTTATCACTTTTGGTGCAATACTTACAGCAAAATACATAATTTTAAAATACACAATAAGTTATAATCTCAGACAAAACTGCATCAGAAAAATATAAGACAGATTTTAAAGGGACTCCACTGAGGTTTTTGACAAAATGGAACTAGAGATATATTTTTCAATATTTACCCCCATTTGATATGAAACAAAAACTCCCTGTTTCCATTTCAAATGTCACAGATAATGAATGCATTAAAAAAATTATATTTAATACATTAGGATTTTGGACCTCAGTGGAGCAATGTTGGACCTTAAGCAGTGGAGCTTTTTTTAAATTTCATTTATGCAGAATTCTTTTAATGATTACAATGTACTAGTATTACTGATAAATATTTCATAATGAATTTTAGAAAAGGATGTATATATCTGTTGTATAAATCATCATTGAGCTAGTGTACACTTTAAACAGGGTTTCATAATGATACAATGAAATTTGTGACACCTTTAGAGAGTAGATGGTTCAAATGTTTAAGGTCCATTAAGCCCAAGAAATGATTTGATATTTCTTCTTCTTCTTTTTGGACTCTCGTTAAAGTTTTCAAAAAAATTACTCATTTGCCAAATGATGTTGCTTTCTTGCAAAAAAAATTGATAGTGATTTAGTATTTTTGTATACAAGTCAATTTATTATTTAAGAAAACTCTACTTACAGTAATAATTTACATCAAAGATCATGTTAAATGCAAGAATAAGTAATTTTGCAGTATTTATCGCCATATTTCTACTGCCTGATTTAAACGCAATAAGTCCTTTTTTGTATATTTTGACAATAATTTGGTAATTTACGTGGTTTTAATGTCACATTTGCAATATTGTGTAAACAACATTCTTTGATAACCTCTTCAATGCATTTTCAAAATTTTCATAAAAATAAACATGAATCTGGAGGCATGCTGCCTTAAATCAATTTAAAACACATGCTTCTCTTTCTAAAAAAGAAAACAATCATTTCTGAGGCTTAATAGTCTTTTAACAGAAGATGGACATTTTATCAAAAGTATACTTTCATTCCACTTTTGAGCACTTTTGTTCTCAGGTGAGCTAATTAGACAGAGCACATTTTCAAGAGTATTTTACATATTGCAATGGGAAATTTGTCAGTGATTATTTGTTTTCATCACAGTACAATACTGTCAATTCACAAACAAAAGTACATTGTATACATGTACACCAAAGATAACAAAATTTTGACAAAAAATAGAGTCACTCTTAAGGCTTAATGTACCTTTAAGCTTGCTTTTCATAAGACCTGGAGGTGTGCTACCTTAACTATGAAAATTAAAAAATACAAAAATAACCCTAACAATTACAAACAAACATAGCAAAACAAAAAATTGATGTGTTCTTTAAACACAATGCCCCTGTTCATATATAATTATTATGAAATGGATGAAATTCATCAATATTAAAAAATAATTGTACTATTGTACATATTCAAGTATATATATCTCAATGTTGGCACACATACAATTACACAAAAAAAAAACCTGGTTTGGTTTAAAATTTTATGTTTGGACAACCCTGATACTTTCACAAAGCAGAAGTTGTTAGGGTAAAGTTACAGACATACATATACAAATCATAAATCCTGGCAGTCTCAAATAACTGGAGAGAAAAAAACATTATAACAGATTATCCATTGAAAGAGTTTGACAATTAAAAATCATTTACTTTTATGTTGAAGTAAGATTTTTCTATTCACAGTGTAAGCATAGCAAAAAGTAAGGGAGACAAATGACAAATCTTGGTATTTAAATTCCATACCAGGTTAATTACCTTACATGGATGTGTCCATCTTTGAATTTTGGACTAAACCATTCATCATTTTTTAGGTAAAATATGTCAAAATATATTGTCACCTTAATTGCAATAACTGATTAACTGCTATTAAATTTAGAAGGACTTATTCCGTTACTGCACTAAGGGGACAATATACAGACTTACATGTAATTGGCACACAGGGCAGGCCAAGACCAGATGGCAGGGATGTGCCGGCTGATCTTGGTTCGCACTGCTCACATGGGTAGAAGCAGTAACTGCCAGCAGCTGCTGGTTAATGGTTTATAGGCAGGTTTTTCAAACAAGTCTTATCTTCATTGACTATATAGTATCCTTCATGCTCCATTTATTTGTTCTTTCCTTAACACCAGTCCTTTGTTACGATACTGCAAAAGCACTCCAACAATTACCATCGCCATCTTTACATGATATCTCTCGCGTCAAAGTTGAATAACACATCCTTGTTGAATAACATCAATGTTCGTACTCCTCTAATGCCATTGAGTATTGGCAGCATATTTTTTTTTTAAAACAAACAAAATGAAACTTAAACAATGCAGTGTCAAATCTATCTGTCAAACCCACCGACTAGTGGCCTGTGGTATGTACATGTGCAAAACTAATTCACCACAGGCACTTGAGCACCACCTAAACCGATATCCAACTCAATAGTTTATACCCGATTTGGAGCAACATTACACAGATTATTATTTCATGAAAAAAAAAAGCCCGACTCATTGCTGTTTTCATATTTAACATCTTCTCACAGTTTCTTTATGCCTAGAAATATAAATGAAGAAAAAAACTAATCATAAAGTAAGATCACTAATTTTGTAGAAAAAAGTAAACATTACTGGTAAGTTCAAAGTAAGTTATATTGTTTTTTCTTCAAGTTATACACTTTAATATAAATGAGCCGCGTCACGACAAAACCAACATAATGGGTTTGCGACCAGCGAGGATCCAGACGAGCCTGCGCATCCGCACAGTCTGATCAGGATCCATGCTGTTTGCTATCAGTTTCTCTACTTGTTATAGAGTTGTAAGCGAACAGCAAGGATCCTTATCAGACTGTGCAGATGCGCAAGCTGGTCTGGATCCATGCTGGTCGCAAACCCATTATGTTGGTTTTGTCGTGACGTGGCTCAAATGTGTCATTTCCTTCACTAAAAAACAATAAAATACACATACAGTTAAACTTGTCTTTAAAGACCACTATAGAATAAAGACCATGCATAAGAGAAATTGTCACTTAAAGCTACATGCCTCCAGATGAGTCAAAATATTTCAATAAAATCAAACTTGAGAAAAATGTACTAAGATGTAAGGAAAAGTAAAAAGTTTCGAGATTCAAGTAATATTTTACATATTATGTGTGATTAATTAATGACTGATTTTTCAGTATTTATTACTATATTTCTACTGTGTTAGGCCATCCTTAAAAAAATATTTGTTTGCAGTAACGCGACCGACTCACAAAATTTGCCCCTACTCAATTTTTTTTTTTCATGGTCTGGATAAAAAAAAATTTTTTTTGAATCAGAAAATTATGCCTTGTGCTTTGTTTTCGTTTTTTTTAAGGTTAATAGAAGAAATAAAATGTACTTCTTATTAAATTAGAATTCAGTTATCAATTTATTAATTGTTACCAGATTATCAAAGCATATATTGTCCAGCATTTTGAAAATCCATGTTTATTTGAGAGTACAGTTCAATAAAAAAAAAAAAAAAATCGACCTACCTACCCACCTTAAAAATTCTCGGTCGGGTTACTGCAAACAAACATTTTTTAAGGATGGCCTGACTAACATTATTTATGCATATTTTGACCACTTTTTGGTTATTTACGTGGTTTGTAAGTGCCATTGATAATGTGTAAATTGCTTCCTTTTGGTATCTTCACAATATTACACATTCATTTCATTAAAATTAGCATGAATCTGGAGGCGTGCTGTTTTAAAACAATTATCTTGTAATTTGTCCTTTTCACAAATATAAAGTGCATAATTAGCTTTTGTGAGACACCCACTGTCAACAATGGCCACTTTCCTGACTGGCCTTTGAAAATTACTGTAAAATTAATGAATATTAAAAATGGAGATACAGTCAAAACTATTTTAAAAATCTATCTATATAAAGTCTAAGCAAAAGTGAATGTAATGATTATATGCAAGTGAAGTGTGATATTCTATTGTGGAGTGTTTCAGTTCTCTATGACATTATATTATAACTTTTTCATATAAACTGATAACCGTCTTGTTTTACAAAAAATAAATCTGCTAACAATACATGACTAATCAGTGTTTTGAAACATAAAATTTTGATGATATTTTATGCACATGAAAAATTGAGCAGTATATTTTGTAAAACAGAATCATGATGCTTATACAGGGTTGTCATTAACATTTTTAGCAGAAGGTTTGTTTTGGACTTGAGGCGGTCATTTCTGTTTTTATCAAGCATAACAAAGAGTGTTTTCTAAATTTTGAGGCGGCCAATAATGCATTTGAGACAGGCATTTTGGCCTCCTGCCGCCTCTTAATGACAACCCTGCTTATATGAGAGTCAATGCAGAATACTGCAACATGTATAACAATTTCATGACCCCGTCTTATAGGAGACACGTCTAAAGAGTGAGTAATTAGAAAATATGTTTTATATATATATAAAAAAATAGGCTTAAATGTAAAAGAAGTTTTCCTATAACTTTAAACGGGAAATAAAAAATTTTCATTGTAATTCAGTGACACATTTCAAATTATTGAATAATGACCTACATTTACAATTGTTCTTTATGTCTAATTATAGTTAAATTCCTGCTTTATTATATATGTGTATCAAAAGTTTCATTTATAGCTTTAAAAGTCACTAAAGCTTTCATGTTTTTCTGTGTAATATGAGAAATACTGGTTTTCTTATAGTGTGAACAATAGATGTTATCCGGGAACTCGGCAAATGACTGTTTTTCCGACATTATCACAAAGTACGGCTACAAATAAACTTTTACCGTAATAGCCTTACACTGTGCTTTACCATTAACAATAGAGTGATCAACACATTATACTGGATATATTTATCAGTTGAAACTATGAGAGTTTGTCTGAACCAAGTGATTAGATGGGGAATACCCATATTTGCCGATTTCTAGAGTATCTCTATTGTGTGACCTGAACCTACATACATGTATTACATGGGAACACAAATGCAGATCTGAATTATACAGGATAAATGAAGTAAGTGAATTACATTTAATATGTGTAACATGGTGATTTATCTCTTTTAACACACTCATAATAAAGTTATGTGCATTGTACATGTATGTATTATTTTTTATTGTTTAAATTGATGATTATAATTTTTGTTTATTGGATTTTTGAAAAATAGAGGGAAAAATCAATCACTCTGTAGAAAATCAGAAAACAGATAAAAATTGGAGGATTTTATCCCTAGGTTGGAAACATGGCATGTACAAATTTAGTTAATAAATAAATGAGAGAAGTAATTTTCATGACATCATTTGGTTTAATGACATCACATTTGACATCATCTGACCTGTAAGCATTCCTACATCATGCTGCGAATAATATACTATAATAATGCACCTGACTGCTCTGTTTATTTAAATCAGGAATAGTGTGAAATGTGTTAGAATATATGTTCAATGACTAGTCTATCAAATATTAACAGTTTTGGCTGTTGTTGTGTTGTAGCAATTCATTTATAGCAATTTACCGACATGTTGTATATCGACAACTCAAAACTTTTTTTCAGCAGACATTTACCACTTCCCATGATAGGTGAAAAAGCAATCACACAGGATTGAAATGTTTTCACCACTCATGCAGTCATCAACAAACTAAAATAATACAGTAAATATATATCAATGTATACAATATAACCTACCATTGAACTTGACTCTCCTAATCTATCCGCTACCTGAAATTACACATGGAATAAAACAATGTTTATAATTCATATTATCTTTTTCAAGTTTCATACTTTTTAAAATGATTTTTTTTTATCCTTCAGCTAATTTAATATTTGGTTTCAAATTAAATTTACTTTTTAACCTCAGGAATTTTCAGGACTGAAACTGAGCAAAAAACAATTGAAGTCAAAATACTTCTTTGTTTACATTTTCCTACCTTTACGATACATAAATGCATGTTCAGCGCTACTTTTTTCAGTAACATCTAACAACATTTTAAGTCATTATTTAAACATTATTAAACCCAAGTTTGACATTTCTAAAGATTTCCAAAACACCATGGATTTCTGGGGCATAATGTGCCTTTAAGTTTATTTTTTGGAAAACCAGACAAGAAACAAAACATAATATTGTCAAGACTGAAAATAAAATCATATTTCAATAATTGTCTTTTTCATAATTCTTTAACAATGCATTAACAGTATCTAATTCTGATCAGGGAAACATTAAGGTACGAAGAAATAAAGTTATATAATTAAAACAAGACAATAAATTGAACAGCTACTTACAGATCTTATTCCTGGTAAATACAATATTGTTCCTATAACTGGTACCCTTCTTAAGAAATTTATGGCAACAGGGAAAAATCCACTGAAAAAAAACAACAAGTTGTACAATTTGTGTTAAAACTTAAAATTAAATAATATACTAAAATAATACTATATATAAACTTGCCCTGGTGTTGACATGTATATACTCGTTATTTCGAATTTACCTTGTTTGAATATATACTAAGAAGTATAAAGTAATATTACTGAACGGAGAGATAATACAAAAAGTGTCACTAGGACACGGATGCCCCTACATTCTATTTTTTATCAGTCTACAGATGGACATTATGACAGAAACAAAGGGAAAATCTAAATGCTCACCTTCTAAAGTGGAGGCATAAAAATTTAGTACCATTACAGGCTAATACTTTTCCGAGAGTTGTGTGTCTGGGTGCAAATTTAAGAACATTCCTTCACATTGTTTTTCCAGAGTTTTCACTTTTATTGTGCAGAAAGACCAATATTTGAAAAGGTTTGCAACGTTTTTCACTCAAATTGGGCTAACATTTGCAGATTTTTTCCATTTCAAATGCTTCACATGTAAAAATTTCAAATTTTATGCCTTCAAATTAACCCTTTTGACATCAGTAGAGCTCCTTTAAATAAACCAAATACAAAATCAACAGCTCGGAATAAAATGGCACACAAGTCAAATATAATCTTACCTAAATAATAAGAAAAATCCATATATTTCTAAAACCATTCCTATAACTGGCCATCCCAGTAATACAACCAGCATTCCCCCAATAAAAAAGCTAGTTGCTTTCACTTTATGCCGCTGAAAGAAAAATCTGAAGGTCCTTTCCAATCCTATTACAAATGCTAGACCTGCTATGAATAAAATCTGAAAGAGACAAATTGAAGAAATTGTTAATCATTTCAACAGAACTTTTGACATACAATGGACCAAACGCCATTTGAATCACTTTGGTAGAGGTTTCGTGCAAGAAAAATCCAAGGAATGTTTCAGTAAATTGGGAATGGGATAAAAAATGGTTTTATAGGAGATGAAGATGACCTTTGATACAGTTAATATGGACAACAGACTTATTGACCACTGATTAAGCTTGCTTGTCCGATATACATGTAACAAACAACATACTCAAAGCGTTATAGAAAGGAAAGTTTAAATTTTATATGACATCCGACGTGATTTCAATAAATCAAAGGATAATGTAAAGGTACATTGTAAATTACTTCTCCCTACACATTTCATATTAAAATGTTAATAGACATTCATGATAATCATTTCTAGAACCATGCAAAATTTCATAACAATGCACTTCAAAGTTTATAGCTATTTCCAAAATAATGCACAAGCATAGTTTATAGTTTAACAATCAATGGCTTTCATAAAATTGTATTTTTACATAAATTAATGATACTTAAGATGAAATTTACAACTTTTAAATAAGAATACTTTTAAATTATAGCATTATTTTGTTGGGAAGTCAAAGGCCTGAACTGTGAAGCAGGCCCGGGCTTTGGGTTGCCCGGCTATAGACTACACTTGTATATTTAAAAGGAAATAAAATAAAAGAAACAATTAAAAGAAATATAGAATTCTACGAGTTACCTATCAATGAAATTTTCAGTGTCAGTTCTATAGTTGTGCCATGTTATTTTCAATGTAACTCAATGATAATTGCTATAGCATAACAATTGGAACTTTTTGGCTTAAGAAAAATAGTTGAGGTATTCTGATTGAAAACGGAAGCAGTGCATGAAATACCAGTGACACCTTTAAAACGAAAAAACTTGTAGAATAAAAATGAACAAGATTTTTTTTTATCTGACTTCCCCGTTCATAGGCTTTGCTTACTGTCATAATTATCATTTACAGTTTTATACTTACATTTCCTATGGCAAGTAGACCTTTGTCAAAGAAGAACAGTATTCCTAAAAATAAGAATGCCACTCCAAATCCAGCAAGGCCAACGCCTATTTCTGAAAAAATATAAGAGATTTTTAAAATTATTACGCTACATTTGTAAATAAAAAGAAAATGTGACACATATAAGTGAAACAAGTTAAGTAAGATATATATGCGCAGTCATTTTGAAATCAGAAATGGTAGTGGCTAGCCATACGGTCCCGTAATTCTAGCCTTCAGCTAGTTCTGACTTCCAAAACTTTACACTAACATTTTCGTTTTTCATCTGATCATGTCATAGTATATGAACATGTACGCTGAAGACCTAAGGCTAGCCTTGTGCGAGTCAAATACATGTATGGCTATTTTATACATATTGTAGAGGCTAGTCGTACTGCACATAATTCAAAAGAAATAACAAGGAAAAAAAACCTTTAATTATAGAAACTTGTGCTTCTAGAAGACTTTAAATAATATAATAAAAATTTAACTTTTTTAGCAGATGATGTTAATTAATTACAGTCATGTTGAAACAAATAACTTTTTTAGCAGATGATGTTAATTAATTAAAGTCATGTTGAAACAAACATCAACTAATATAATTTTTGTCATAGCGAGCTCGAATATACGGAAGTAGTGTATAATATGCCGAACGACAGTTTTATAACAAAATTGTAAAATAAAAATGAATGATTATTTTATGCTAGATCCCTATTTCACGGTAAAAGTAAATCAAGCTGGCTTTGAGGCTTTGCTTTTTCATATTACAGAATTTTATTGGATCTGCCTGGTCACACAGTAGTGACACAAAGTTTATTCATTAAAAAATCTACTGTTAAATCGTTATGACACATATTTTCTGTTACTTCATTTTAACTTAAACATAGAAATTAGGCTTTTATTAGCAGATTAAACAATGTTTTCATAGATTTATTGTTTCTTTCACAATGGAAGTATAAAAAAACATGCACTCATTAGCAATCAAGATTTCAAATGAAACTTACTCTGGAAATCTGTTACTTGCATCATAATGACTGTTGTTTTTCAACTACAATAGCTATAATTTGTGTCAAACATTAATTTGTAGAAACACGTCATGAACTCCTCTGTTTTTAACTTCCAGACGCTTGTTTTTTTTGTTTAAAGACGTGAAAGAATCGCCCGGCTGATACAGACTTGTAAAGAGCATTAACGGGAGGTAACTCCATTTAAGGCTAGCCGTAACTATTTAATTTAGGTAAGGCAACGCTAAAAATATTTTCCAATGAAATACATAAACGTGTCTAAGCATTTATATAAAATATACATCTTATTTAAGAATAAACAGCTCTAGAAATATTTCCACAATTATTCAATTGATATACATACATTTACTTAAAGTACGCGTGTTATTCACGTGTTTGGATCAAGCTTTTTTTTTTTCAAGAACAATAATATTATGTTTCATTTAGGCTTTGTTGAGAGGACAACCGGTCCTTTAGGAAAAATAAGAAAAACTTCACACAGGTATTCACAATTACTGTATCCATAACAGTACTTGAAATAACCTAATGTGGTAGATCTATTGAAAAAAAAAGAAAAAAAAAAGAACGTATTTATGAGCAACGGGAATTTCATTTCTTCTAACAGTTATAAAATGTAAATCCTATGAATTTGGGTAAACAATCTTCAAATGATGATGATGATAAAGATAGTGAAGTTTAGATTATGGATAGAGGACAAGGGCTCTAGGATTGATGATGATGATTATGATGATAATGATGATGATAATAATGGTGATGATGATAATGATGATGATAATGGTGAAGATTATGATGATAATAATTGTGAAGATGATGATGGTGGTGACGGCGATGATGAAGATGATGATAGTGATGATGATGAAAGTGATTTATTGTGCTTGAAAGGCAAGTTTTCAAAGCATTTATATCCACTCGCGAAAAATATATGACACAATTTGTCGTCTGCAAATTGAGGTCATTTATTGCTCTTTTTCTATATGCCGTTAACATATTCACATAGAATAACCCTGTCATTAGTTAACATTTCGGTAAGATTACTGTATTGTTATACGTTGTAAGCGTTTGGCTGAGCAAAAATGCAGAGAAAGCGGTTAGAGACTATATGAGGCATAAGGTAATTGGACAATTGGTCAAGAATGTTATGTTTATAGGAACTAACACTATATTAACTTGCTATCTGGAAAAAAATGAAAGACTTTAAAAGCCACTTGCAGCTGTTTCCGCTTGAATATCTAAATTAATAAGTGTATGAAACTTATTGATAACTTATATAAATAGTGAAGTATGACATAGATAACAATGTGTATTGTAGACAGTGTATTTTGAGCCGGAGACCTTTATTTACAAAATAAATGTTGTTGTTGTTGTTGTTGTAAAAGGGAATAAGTTTTATTTGCCAGGTATTTCATTTTTTTAGAAAAATCTCATCTTTATAATGGATGATAAATCTTTTAGATAATGTAAATCAATGGTAAAATTTATTTTTCTCTAAATTGCCTTTTTTATGGTACATGTATAGGTGGACCGACATTTTAAGCTGCATGTTCTCGCGAAAAAAAATATATGAAACAATTTGTTGACTACAAAAGTTCTGTTATGGTCTTATATATATTTTTGTCGTTAAAGGTTTACATATCACAAAGAAACAACTCGATATACTTTTGTGTCCTTAACCACCATTTAGTTTAGAATACACGATTTATCTAACAAATTACGATAATGTATCTATATAGATTCCGTGAACTTCGGTATTTTCCGTGACTTGTTGCGTTTTGTTTTGAATGGGAAAGTGACGAATTATGTCGGACTTTCCCGAGTTAAACATGTCACGCTAGGGGAGATAACAAGAATAAACTCTCGGGCTTATCTGCATTTCATAAAATAGGACAACCACCTCTCTGTTGATAGTATACATTTCTAAGTTTTTTAATCAGTTACACATATGCATACAGATGTTTGACAACTTAAATTCGTGTTGTTTGCGTGATATCATGACATTAATAAATATACAATATGATACATAAAGGGCAGCTGATAACAGCTCGACACTCCTACATTCGGGAATTTGAAACGAAATATCATTGTGGTATTTAGTATCATATATGTATATGCAAGACACAAGTCCTGTTGACTGTAAATGGTGTTTTGTCGTTCAAAGGAATGGCAAATGAAGAAAAAAATACAATACTGTATGGCGCAATGATGAAATTAACATTGTGAAGGACCGGGCACGTACGTTGCGCGTTAAGTGTTTAAAACACGGAACTTTAATTAAGCGGTAATAAATAATTTGCTTGTTATGCAATCCATTTAATTGGGAAAAAAATGACATTACGAAATAATCAAAGTGAAGAAATACTTATTCAAATCTTCTTGAATGATGCTATGCAAAAATAATTTAAAGGGTAAACTTGAAACACAGTTTTTAAGTGTTAACTTTTAAAAAACATATTTACTTTTAACCGAAATAGCAACTTTACAAGAAGGAAATTTTATTTACATGAAGAAATAGTTATTGAAATCTACTTGACATTGTTTTTTCTATTGCGTTATCGCAACTTTGCGGTCTTTTTATCAATTTGTAAACACATGTCAAAGGACACGACTTCATCACGGATTGTATAAATTTAAAATTGTCGTCTGCAGTCAGTTAGTGACTGGATTAATTATTTATTAACTTATCAGAGAATTCAGCCACTGTGTTTGGATCTGGAGTTACACTCACACATACAGGTATCTTGATAATTGTATATTTACTTTTGATTTTAAGTATTATACTTTATAAAACACTATTTGTTGGCACTAAGTGTATATAACATTTTTAAGCAACACACACCGGATTCAATTTATAACACATTTATTTTATAAAATGAGAATTATCTTAAAACGTGAAAATGTTGACATGTGTCTTAATTAAGTGATTAGATATAGGCCTAAAGTTTTTATTAGTCACATAGATTATACCAACAGCGTTTTAAAAAGTTACAAAAATATTTTTAATCATTTTTTAGAAAATTTAAAAAAAATCTAACTTTCACATTTTAAACAAAAAATCCCAATGTACATAAAAAAAGGGTTTTGACCGAAAGTATATACATGTCCCACTTTTATCTAGGATCCCCCCCCAAAAATGCTACCGGAAAAATATAATTTTTGTTGTTTTAGAAAATTTTAAAATATTTATGAAGTAAGCGATATAAGTTATATATAGTTCTATTAGTAGAAATGAAATCGCTTAACTTAACAAACAAACAAAAAAGGAAATAAATAAAACCACAAGAAAACTGGGAGAAATATGTCATAAAACGCGCATTTTCATGCGGTTGATTTGTGGATATTAATCAAAAAATATTTGAGCCGCGTCATGACAAAACCAACATAGTGGGTTTGCGAGCAGCATGGATCAAGACCAGCCTGCGCATCCGCGCAGTCTGATCAGGATCCATGCTGTTCGCTTTGTGAAAGAGTTGGTCGTGACGTGGCTCATTTCGTATCTTTAATCTCACCAGACTAAATTTTTGAAAATGTGTTTCAAAAGATGCGTGTAGCTAAAGAAAGATACCAGCAAATCTACAATTTTGTATAAATTCGGGCAACTTAGTAGGTACATTGTCTATTATATAACCAATGATAGGTCTTTTTTCCCACTCGGAACATCTCGACGCTTATCATAATAAACCTTCATTATCCGAAGTTTGACGGAAAGGGCCGTGAAGATTTGATATTTTTCCTTCTGCTATCAGCAATTTCGTATGAATTTTTCTTCCTGATAAATTGCCCCCATAGAAATCAAACAAACCATATCTTTCCCTTATCAGTAATGACCTCATATGGATACAATAATTATTTTTTCTGGGTTTCAAGAGCAAACTGGCAATCGACGTTTGATTTGTTATTGTTTGTTTTGGTTCTTAATTGTTTCTGATTTATATGTGGGTCTGCCAACACACAGTGCTGTCCTGGTAACTCGGTAAGTCGATGTCACAAAGTACTTCATGTGACTTTAATCTGGTGCTGAGCCTGTAACTGCTTTTTTATTAACTGTGCCTTGTTTACAAAAAAATATTTGGTCAAAAGAATGGTATATCTTTAAAGCGGTCTCGATTTTATGCCCGTAACTAGTAACAAATGCTAATGCATATAATACGCGCATTAGACAAAATGAGTATACTATGTTAACAATAAAAAAATGCGTTCATATTGTATCATTATAGCAAACTATACATGTACATATGTATGGTGGCTGATTTGGTCCATGTCGTATTTTTGCTTCGCGGAGCGCCAAGGTAAAAACATGGAATTACAAAAATGTGACTACTTTGTCGAACTTTCGCTCTGCGGGCGCCAGACGAAAGGACGAAAATAAGACAAAATGTTTACTTTGTTCGTTTTCATCGGTTTTTTTTCGTCCTGGCGCAAATCAGCCCCCAAAACATATTTTTTAGTTTTCTATTTAAACGGGATTCGCTTTATTCTTTCCATAATCCAAATTAAAAGTAGGCCCGCATTAAAACAAAATTTTTCATTACGTGAAAAAAAACAGAAATACAAAATGATTTATATCAACCGATTTGTTCCACAAAATATCAAGGGAAAAGCCCCCTTAAAATTTTAATTTTTTTTGGGAACAAAAAGTTACTCTTTTTTAAAACTCTCAAAAAAATAGATCATATCGTGATAAACTATCAAATAAAGAAAAATGAATATTTTTCCCTAAATTTTTAAAAAACACATTTTTTCAGGAATTTAATTTGCAAAAATTTTTTATAAATATTTTTTTTTTATTGTAAAACCCACAAAAAATATTAGTTTTGCGTATCAAATTTTCCATTCAATTTTCTTTGGGAAAGGGATTATAAAACCTCAGAAAAATTCCCTTTTTTAATATAAAAGTCAAACACGCGTTTGAAATAATGTTTTAATTATGGATTTAGAGCATGTAAGATGTTTTTTTAAAATGGTCCCTAAAAATAAACCCCAAAATACATGCAGTAAAATTTTTACTTCCATTAATATAATCAACCCCAATGGGAACCCACAGCCCCAAAAAGTTAAAAATATATAGCTTATCTCTATGGCAAAAGAGTATTTTTTGGGGAAAAATTGTAAAAAAGATCCTTTCAAAGTCTTTTTGAAAAAAAAAACAATATTAGCTGAGGCATAATGTGTTTTTAATGAAAAAAAAAAGGAATAAAAAATAAATAAGAACGTTTCGGGTTATTCATTGAGCTATTATTATCAATTTTTGTAATGTAACAAAACAAAAACATATTGAAATTTTGAATTTTCAGTATGGCTTTTAAACTACGAGATAAAACCATCACTTTCTTTATGGTTTTAAAACAGTTAAGTAGCATATATTATATTTTCAGAATGGTATTGAAACAATGTGGAAAAAGATATATTAACATTACGGGCAAACTTGTGTTTTTTGCAACCTTATTTATTCTTATGATCCAACTCGCATATCTTCATACCTATAAAAGTAAGTATCACGTGACTCAAATTCTTTATTATATAATCTATAAATAGCTTAAATTAAGGCCGTCGTCGATGGTCCGGCCGGTCCGGCCCTGGCCGGACCAATATTTTGGTCTCTATCTAAACCAATCAGAGAAAGGCATTCCAAAGCCTTTGGAATGCCTTTCTCTGATTGGTTTAGATAAAGACATAGACAACTCTACATTTTTGCTTAAGACTTCACGTTGTACAAAATTAATTACGTCATATTCACCCGCTTAAAATACATATCAGTACAATATACCTTTTATAATAATGCAAATGAATTCCTTGAATTCTGATTGGCTTAACACTTTGCATACTATGCTGTAGGCCTATATGCAGTGAGTACCGAAGCACGCACACAGTAAGTTGAAATAACAATGCATTTCTACATCATAGACGATTAATTGCACAACATGTATTATTGCGTTTGTTCTTTATGTAATTTTCCTCGCTTCAAATGTCATTAAATATAAGATAGTTAAAAGTTACACCTTTATACTTGAAATAATTTTTATTTTTATAATATTTACGTGCGCCCTTTTTCCGAGCTTTTTAGAAAAGCAATCAAGACAATAAGCCACATTTTATTTGCCAGACCACAGTTCATCCACTGCATCATTCCTGAGCAGGCTGTCAAGGAGATTACCAGTACTAGTTGCCTTCGCTTTCGCAAGAAACTGAAATTTCTGTACATACAACAGCAGAGGTTCAGTGCGAATGACCGTGGAAAGGATTTCATTATCAGTCACAACGAAAATGACATGCGCCGTCCGGGAATCGAACCCGGGTCGCCCGATACACAGTACAACGTTTTACCTATTGAGCTTACCGGACGGCTTTGCTTGCTGTAATATAGTTTCTAAAGCTTTACAACCATATCTATCCAATTAAGGCTATATTTATATGTATTCTCCAGCAAATCCTTTCCGCAACTTGTATATAACTGATAAATACGGTATAAATAAAAAGCTTATTGTGTATTGTGTTATCATTTTTTATTTTATTTCATTTTTTATATTTAATCAGCTCCAGGAAGTAGATTCAAATAAGCTTTAAACTTTCGGCATAACCTATCAAAAATATGTTTAAAGTAACTTCAAAATCATTTTTTTTTATCAATTTACAGCTGTCTCTTTGATTATCGCAATGATGTGGTAAGGAACGAGAACTCTATGAATGGTTACCGTGCATTTTCTTTAAAATAAAGATGTTGACCTGTTCTGAACAATCTCGAGTTAATAAAGTATTTCCCAATGGTATCTTTTCAGCGGAAAAAAATCGAGCAGATCTGACAAGACTTTTAGCTGTGAAACCGGAAGAAAAGGGTTATGGGGGAAAAAACCCAAAATTGGGGTTTTGTCGTACCGCATGGCTCCAAAAGCCGGGATCCGGCAGTTAACAGGATTTCCATCTTTCGTTGTTCATTTTTTTTTGGCAATAGGGAAATAAGACCTTTAATGGGGTTGTCCTGATAGCACGTCCGGGGGAAAAAAGGCCCCGTGATGGTCCTTATGTATGCCAAAAGCTATGCAAAACCCATTAAACCGATAGAAGCACATAAGGAAATTCCTTTAAACTCCCTAAAATACTAATGGACTGATCTAAATTTGAATCTGGACAAGCCCATAACGGAAATTCACCCAAGGTTAAAATTCTATTGAACATATTTAGATTTGCCTATATGTCTTTATTATTACTCCCGAAAACGTTTTTAAGATGTTTTTTGTAGACGTAGTTTTATCAGGGAACAAAACATTTAAAAGTTTTTAATATCGACGGATTTTATATGTGCACGATACATAATAAAGACTTTGAATAAAGACGGATTTTTGCACGATAATTTCATAGCTTTTAATACCGATGGGTCTTTGATGTATGTTCACGATCGCATTTTAAAGGCTTTGACTATCAACCGACGGGTCTTTATGGTATGCACGATGGCATTTCAAAAGGCTTTGACTATCGACGGGGTCTTTATGTATGCACGATACATTTTTTAAAGGCTTTGAGCTATCGACGGGTCTTTTTGTTTTGCACGATACATTTTAAAGCTTTTAAATAATACCGATGGGTCTTTATGTATGCACGGTACATTTTAAAGGCTTTGACTATCGACGGGTCTTTCTGTTTGCACGATACATTTTAAAGCTTTTAATATCGACGGATTTTATATGTGCACGATACATTTGAAAGCTTTAAATGTCATCTTTACCTAAATGGGTTAGCTATTCTGCCGAATCGGATACCAGTTTCTGACTTTAAAAGTGTATAAATTCCATAATGACATGTGCGAATGTTACTTTATTCTATAAAGAACCATTTAATTATATATTTTAGCATTAAATTGTGCTTAAGACGGTGCTAGGGGGTATGTTGATATATTTCGTTTATAACTTCAGTCAACAGTCTCAGTCAAAAATCCCTTTAAAAAACATTTTCAACAATTTTACTATACTCGTTGAAATTTCGAGTTTCAATTTGAACTATTTGATTTTGCACTTTATAGCAAACCGTGGAACAATATACAATACACATATATATCCAAGGCATGGATTTTTTTATTATATACGCAACAAGCTAAAAAATAAAGTCTGTTGTCCTAATCAATAGTGGTTTAAATTATATATTAACCCATATGTTTTTGACTGAAAAACGAAAATGTATTGAATTGTCCTGGTGTTTCAAAAATTAGCATCGATTTTAAAGTTGTTTTATTTATTCTGTTTAACTAATTCATATTTTAACACTGAAAAGAGTATTATATACAACAAATAATAATGGCGGTAATTAAGTTTTCTTGTATAACATTGTCCAATCAAAGGATTTGCGCTTGTTGCACTAGATAATATAGACGTAAAACCAACGCCCGAACTTGATGTTGTTTAACAATAAAAACCTAACATTTCTTTCATTTTTACAAGCCTTGTTTTCAAATGTAAATGTGTCAATTCTATGTATATGAAACATAAACAGTTACGTACATGCAGTGCATATAAATGTTACTGAAATATGCATGATTATTACAAAATCTACATGCCCAACTATGTATTTTTCAAAACCAAAAGTTGGCAATATTCCGGCCCAAAGCACGAATAGAAAATAAACTTTTTATTACGATACCACTTATAAAATATTATTGATATCATATTTTATATCAGAATAGATTTGGCATCATCCTATCCGATTAGCATGAGTGAGAAAAAAAAAAGATAACAAAAACTAAAAATACTTACAAATTAAAGATGTTTTCAAATCGCGGCTAGGAAAAATAACAAACTAAAAATACTTACGAATTTAAAGATGTTTTTTCCAATCGCCGGCTAGGAAAAATAACAAACTAAAAAAACTTACTAATTTAAAGATGTTTTCAAAAATCGCTGGCTAGGAAAGATAACAAACTAAAATACATACTAAAAAGTTAAAGATAAAAAACTAAAGTACTTACTTATAAAGATGTTTTTTCAAATCGCGGGCTAGGAAAAGATAACAAACTAAAGTACTTACTTATAAAGATGTTTTCAAATCGTCGACTAGTTAAAGATAACAAACTAAAAATACCTACTAATGAAGAATGTTTTCAAAAAATGCGGCTAGGAAAGATGACAAACTAAAGTACTTACTAATAAAGATGTTTTTCAATCGCGGCTAGGAAAGATACAACCAAACTAAAAAATACTTACAAATAAAGATGTTTTTTCAAATCGCGCGCTAGGAAAAAAAATAACAAACTAAAAATACTTACGAATTTAAAGATGTATTTTCCAAATCTCGGACTAGATAAAATAAACAGACTAAAAAAACTTTTACGAATTTAAAGATGTTTCAAATCGCGGCTAGGAAAGATAACAAACTTAAAAATACCTACTAATAAAGATGTTTTTCAAAAATGCGGCTAGGAAAAAGATGACAAACTAAAGTTCTTACTAATAAAGATGTTTTCAAATCTCGGCTAGGAAAGATAACAAACTAAAAATATTTCTAATAAAGACGTTTTCAAATCGCGGCTAGGAAAGATAACAAACTTAAAATACTTACAAATAAAGATGTTTTCAAATCGCGGCTAGGAAAAATAACAAACTAAAAATACTTACGAATTTAAAGATGTTTTCCAATCGCGGCTAGGAAAAATAACAGACTAAAAAAACTTACGAATTTAAAGATGTTTTCAAATCGCGGCTAGGAAAGATAACAAACTAAAAATACCTACTAATAAAGATGTTTTCAAAATGCGGCTAGGAAAGATGACAAACTAAAGTTCTTACTAATAAAGATGTTTTTAAATCTCGGCTAGGAAAGATAACAAACTAAAAATACTTAATACGAATAAAGATGTTTTCCAATCGCGACTAGGAAAGATAACAAACTAAAAATACTTACTAATAAAGATGTTTCAAAATGCGGCTAGGAAAGATGACAAACTAAAATACATTACTAATAAAGACGTTTTCAAAATGCGGCTAGGAAAGATACAAACTAAAAATACTTTCTAAAAAAGATGTTTCAAAATGGCGGCTAGAAAGATGACAAACTAAAAAACTTACTAATAAAAGACGTTTTCAAATGCCGACTAGGAAAATAACAAACTAAAAATACTTACTAATTTAAAGATGTTTTCAAAATGCGGCTAGGTAAAAGATGACAAACTAAAAATAACTTAACTAATAGAAGACGTTCAAACGCGGCTATGAAAAGATAACAAACTAAAAATACCTACTAAATAAAGATGCTTTTCAAAATGCGGCTAGTAAAAACATGACCAAACTTAAAAATACTTACTAATAAAGATGTTTTCAAATAGCGACTATGGAAAGATGACAAAACTAAAATACTTACTAATAAAGATGTTTTTTAAAATGCGGCTAGGAAAGATAAACAAACCTAAAAAATCACTTACTAATAAAGACGTTTTTCAAAATCGCGGCTAGGAAAGATAACAAACTAAAAATACTTACTAAATAAAGACGTTTTCAAAACGCGCTTAGGAAAGATAACAAACTAAAAAAATTACTTACGAATAAAGACGTTTTCAAAAATGCGGCTAGGAAAGATAACAAAACTAAAAATAACTTACGAATAAAGACGTTTTCAAAATTGCGGGACTAGGGAAAGATAACAAACTAAAAAATACTTACGAATAAAGACGTTTTCAAATCGCGGCTTAGGAAGATTAACAAACTAAAAATACTTACGAAAAAAAGACGTTTTTCAAAATCGCGGCTTTAGGAAAGTAATAACAAACTAAAAATACTTACGAGAATAAGACGTTTTCAAAATCTAGCGACTAGCGAAAGATAACAAACTAAAAAATATTAATACAAATAAAAGCGTTTTCAAATCGCTTACTAGGAAAGATAAAAAACTAAAAATATTACTAATTTAAAGACGTTTCAAATCGCGCGCCTAGGAAAGATAACAAACTAAAAATACTTACGAATTAAAGACGTTTTCAAATCGCGACTAGGAAAGATAACAAACCTAAAAAATATTACGAATAAATACGATGTTTTCAAAATGCGGGGCTAGGAAAAATGACAAAACTAAAAAACTTAATACGAATAAAACGTTTTCAAATCGCGACTAGTGAAAGATAACAAACTAAAAATACTTACTAATAAAGACGCGTTTTCAAAATGCCGGCACTAGGAAAGATAACAAACTAAAAATAATTAATACGAAAATAAAAGACGTTTTCAAATCGCGACTTAGGAAAAATAACAAACTAAAAATACTTACTAATAAAGACGTTTTCAAATCGGCTAGGAAAATGATAACAAACTAAGAAAAATAATACGAATAAAGACGTTTTTCAAAATCGCGAACTAGGAAAAGATAACAAACTTAAAAATACTTAACTAATAAAGATGTTTTCAAAATTGCGGCTAGGAAAGTAACAACTAAAAAAACTTTCGTAAAAACTTTCAAATCGCGGCTAGGAAAGATAACAAAATAAAAAATTTCTAATAAGAGTTTTCAAAAAGCGGCTGGAAAAAATGACAAAATAAAAAACTTCTTGGTTTTTCAAAAACGCGGCTAGGGTAACAAATAAAAAATTCCCCAAAAAATTTTTTAATTGGACTGAACTGTTTTTTCTAATTGCGGCTACAAAAGTACCAAAATAAAATACTTACTAAAAGACAGTTTTTCCCTAATAAAAATTTTCACCATATCGTGATAGCCAGTGGTTAAAAAAAATGGTTTTTATTAAACAGATAACTTAAATTTTATGGTTTTAAAAGTAAAATTTTTATTCATTTTTAAAAATATATTAATAATTATTATTTAAAAAAATTTTTTTCAAGTCGGGTTTTTTTACCCCAAATTTGGG